AAAAAAAAAAATTCCACTGTCTCTAGCATTTTGACAACGACTCCAAGCATGCAACTTTATTTTGCCTCCAGCTTAGATTGAAAAATCCCTCCGCGTGACAACCATTCTTTCTCTTTACTGGCATTAAAAAAAACCACATTCCTGAACTTGCAGACGCAAGCATATGAAAATGAGACAGCAATCAAGGAGGAGTTTAAAAAGTTCCACCAGTTGCTTCAGGACGAGGAAAACACAAGGCTGAAGGTGCTCAAACTGGAGGAGGAAACCAAAACTCAAATCATGCGTAAGAAGCTGGAAAACATCAGCGACCAGATCAACACTCTCTCCTCCACGATCAGTGATATTGAAAAAGCCCTCAAAGCAGAAGATATACAGCTTCTACAGGTACATTTACTGTCATTATTTACAGACTGCATTTATTTATAATAACTGCTAGATTATTTGTCATAAAAACAGTCAAGTAAAAATTATTTAATTAAAACAACAACAACAACACATTAAATATGAAAAACAACACAGTAGTAGAGAAACATCGGATGTTATATATGGCAAATAAACATTTCTATGAAGCTTCGCTGTGCACAGTCCCGACAGTAACTTTTTCCTGTTATTGTATTTTGTTTAAGAGAAAAGGCTGCATACAAAAGATTAACCATGGCACAATGCATTTATCATGAAGTCAACTTTTGAAGCTTTTTGTTTAGAGTCTAAATCGTGTTCATTTGAAATCACAGCTTTTGGCTACAGCTACCTGTGCATGCATCCACCTATCACTTAGCAGCCACACTCCTAATATAACACCGTCACTGAGGGGGAGGTCACTGAGGTAGTTAAATAACTCTTGGGTGGTAGGGCCACCCATCCACCGAGAATGGATGCAATTCACCCCGAGTTTCTCAAAGCTCTGGATATTGTGACACTGCTGTGGCTGACATGTCTTCGTAGCATTGCAAGGAAGTTGAGTACAGTGCCTCTGGATTGGCCAACTGGGGTTTTGATTGACCTTTTCAAGAAGGTCAATCAAAAGTGTTTTCCAGCTTCGAAGAAATCAGACTTCTCAGCCTCCCTGGGAAGGCACATCAGTTGATCCTCAGATTCAGGGGGAACAATGGAGTTTCAGGTAATTTAGCACTAGATTAACTTTTTGTCCTCCTGAACATATTGGAGGGTCGGTGGGAGTTTACTTAAGTAGTCTAGAGGTTTTTGGAGGACTTGGATAAGTCACAGGCCACAGGCCATGGTTCTCACTCTGAAGGGTATGGAAGAGTTGCTGCTTCAAGTATAGGAATTTAAGCATCTTGGAATCTTGTTTATGAGTGAGGGGAGAGTGGTGTGGAAGATTTGGCATAAGAGTAAAGTTGTCAATCTACTTTCCCACCCTGTCAAAATGCTTGCCTGGTGGATGGAAAATGGATGAATGGATGGCCACTATATTAATCCACAGTACAATCTGAGCAAATTAGGTGGTTCGTTGTATTATGTTTTGCATGTTCCCAATTGATACAAAACTGTATAAATCAAACTGATGTGAATGTTATAGTTTAGAAGGCTGTTCGATCATAAACAGTATTGGACGCACTGAAGTTTGGCCTAATGGTGGTGCTACAGAGTTAAATTTCAGCAAACTGTCATCTAATTATTATGATCATTAGTATCAAGCATAGCATAAAGTTTTCCAGACAAGTTCAATTGTTCAGAATTATTCAGAATTGTTCCTCTCTGTTTCTAGTTGTAATAGTTGCTGTTGTGATGCAGTGTATCACCATATGGCGTCACCTCCTGTCTCATTGTCTGTATCTGAGTTTCCTGTCGATGTATCTGTCGCAGTTTTCACTGTGTATGTCTTAAATTTAGGGTTAGGAGGTTGATGACACCTGCTGTCATAGCACAATTTATCGTTTGTACATATACAGTATGTGTAGTTTTGAATTATTGTACATGTTTGTTACCTTTCAGTCAATAATTTCCAATAATACAGCTGTACTGCATATGTGATTTTGTAACGCAGCATGTCCTTATTGTACTCTCTTTCACCTTCTTTCTTCAACTTAAGAACTACAAGAAGACAAAGAAAAGGTAAGCATTACCCACTATCTACCAAAATCAGCATCAACCCTTTCCATGAGAGAATGCTTTAACAATTTTAACATGTTTCAGGCTGCAATGCAGCATTGGAGAGCCAGAGGTCATCAGAGATATCCTGATAAACTCTGCAAAGCATCTGGGATCGCTTAGTTTTCACATTTGGAAGAAGGTGGAAGACATTGTCAGATGTGGTGGGTTAAAGAAAAAATTCAAGTTTACTCTAAATTCTATCATATTTTCAACTAACTGAATTTTACGGTTTCCAGTTCCTGTTGTTTTGGATCCAAACACTGCCCAGTCCAACCTAGAGTTCTCTGAAGAACTGTCCTGTGTGCAATACAGCAGCAAGAAGCTCCTACCCAACAATCCTGAACGCCTCATCAACCGTGTTTCTGTGCTGGGAGCCACTGGTTTTACATCTGGAAAGCACAGCTGGACTGTAGATGTGGGCCAAGGCAAAGACTGGTACATCGGAGTGGCTCTAGACTCCATCCAAAGAAAGAATACCATCTTCCTCAGCCCTGCTGAGGGTTTCTGGGTAATTGGTTTGAGCAATGGAGACTCACTGTGGGCACAGACCACACCTCGCTCCAAGCTCCCAATGAAGGAGAAGCCCAACAGGATTACAGTAGAGCTGGACTATGAGAAGGGAAAAGTTGTTTTCATCAATGCTGCAGATTCTACAAAGATCCACACATTCAAAGACAAATTTACTGAGAAGGTTTTTCCCTACTTTTCCCCCGGATTGTGTGAAGACAAAAAAAAATCAAGCAAACTGAAAATCTGTCCCCAGGTAATAAAAGTACAAGTAGAATAGTCAGAGGCTACGTTATATTTAACAGGCTGCGCTGACTGATAAATCAATGCTTTACACATGGAATTCAGGAGGAAACAACTGTCTGAGGAGTGGAACTCAGACACTGTTTTTCTTTTGTATGTGGCATAGGTATAACTATGGGGAAAAACAGAGGCATTATGTTTTCAGGCAAAGTGATATTTTAGCTTCATTTTCAAACATAGTGACAAAGGTTAATAAAAAAAAAAAAAGTCTCATCAACCGTGTTTCTGTGCTGGAGTAGTCAACTGATTCGCACCTGCTAGTGACTCAGGAAAGACTCCCAGGTTACCTGGTGATAGTCACAGTTTAATGTGGGAAGCTGTCTGCTTGATATAATGTAACATCATTACGTTATAACTACGTTAATGCACTTTGTTTCCTCAGCTTAGAGCTGTTGGAGCTTGTGTTTACCCTGAGAGGGAATTATCTGAATTAAAACTGATAAATGTGATTTAAAAGGAGGGAGCCATAGACACCGAGAAGCATATCAGAAAGCAGTTTCAGGAACAGGGTGGAATCATTTGCTTTTGATCATTTTTGATCTGACTCAGCTTAACTTGCTGGCTTAACTTCTCTTCTGGACACATCTTTCCTTTATATGCAGCTCTCTGATGTCAAATAGAGTATAGAACTTTATTAATCCCTATGATGTTTGATGTATTGTTTAAACTCGCTTTTGGTTGATTTTGTTTTGTTTTAGATTTTAATGTCTGTTTTCTGCCTCTGTAAAGCACTTTGTGATTTTATCTTGAAAGGTGCTATATAAATAAAATTTTTATTTATTTATTTATTTATGAGGTCAGTTTATTGTTCATTCTTGAGGATGTGGTTTCTGTGTCTGTTCTTCCCATCCTCACATGCAGATCAACTTTAAAAAGCAGTGCAACTCCATGGCTGCAGATGTTTGTATGTTTCCTGTGTTTGCTAGTACTTCTTAATTAAAGGATCTATGCTTTTTTTCTTTCACCGCCCAACAAAATTCAAATAACTACATAAAAAACTAAAACAACGAAAAAAAACAAAATAACTTTAATCCTTTATCAAAGGGAGATTGAGAAAACAAGAAGCGAGACAGGTTCTCTCTCTGAATATTTATAGTTTCCCTTTTCAAGTATTTCTTACAGACACTATGACAGGCAAGGACAGGTAAAAAAAAAAAATTTTAGATTTTAAAATAAAATGTTTTATTTATCTAACTGTGCAACAGAGGTTGGAAAAGTAAAGCTTCAGTATCTTACCCAAGGATACTTCCATATGTAGAAGAAACCAACAAACAACATGAAATAGTTGACATCTAGTGTAAAGGTTAATGACATTTCTGTGACAACACATATTAGGAAACTAAGCACTGCTGGTAAGCACTCAGACACTCTTATTAGTGCTGTCAATTCCTGAATAGTGGAAAAAGGTTATCTTATGTGTGGGCTGCAGGTGTGTTGTTCTGTGACATCACCGTAAATGTTTCCGGTTTAAAAGCCTGAGGCTTTTCTGTATGGAGTCAGACATGCCAGTTAGGAGAAAAGAGGAGAGAATGGGGCCGGATGATTAACTGACAAACTATTATTGCAGCACAACACAAAACTGAAGTAAAAGGATTTCCGTGAAGGTAAAAATCAATAAAATCCATTCATTTAATTTAGAATTTAGAATTTTCTACTCTGATTCTATGTTTTTTGTCTGAATTTAGATCAATTGTGTTAATATAGTATGTCAAAATGAAAAACGTCAGGTTGTGCTTAAAAAAATGAATGATACCAAACAAGGTAGGATAAATATTCTTTAAAAGGTGAAACGTATGAGGTGAAATCAAAAGTAGTCAAAAACGACAAATTATGCCCTGGACCACAACTAGTCATATTACTCAACTTTGCAGACAAACATCACTGCGTGTCTGCATCTTGATGTAAGGTGCCCAGCTGTGGGTAGTGACCGAAAGAACTGTATCGCGGATACAAGCGGCGGAAATGGGTTTCCTCCGAAGGGTGGCCGGCCTCTCCCTTAGAGATAGGGTGAGAAGTTTGGCCATTCGGGAAGGGCTTAGAGTAGAGCCGCTGCTCCTCCACATCGAAAGGAGCCAGTTGAGGTGGTTCAAGCATCTGACAAGGATGCCTCCTGGGCGAGGTTTTCCAGGCATGTCCCACTGGGAGGAGGCCCCAGGGCAGACCCAGGACATGCTGGAGAGATTATATCTCTCGGGTGGCCTGGGAACGCCTTGGTGTTCCCCCGGATAAGCTGGAGGAGGTGGCTGGGGAGAGGGAGGTCTGGCCTTCTCTGCTTGGGCTGCTGCCCCTGCGACCCGGCCCCGGATAAGTGGAAGAAGATGGATGGATGGATGGATGGATGAATGGATAGATGAGTGTATTTGTTTTTTTGTTTTTAGGTATATTTGTGTATTTATCAAACACCAATGCGTTAAACTTGGGGTATTTGGGCCATGTTTGTCTGGGAGTCAGAGTGTTGTCACAAGGGTGCCTGTATGCTCAATATTTAGAAATACATTTTTATATAAACTTGTTAAAAAAATTTTATTATGTTATTATAAAGCAGCCATGTTCATGGTGCAGGCTCTATATTTTTGCAGTCAGTAGATGGAACGGGGAACAAGATAAATAATTGGAACAGGAGCTGCAATGGTTATCAGTAGCTGATACATCAGTAAGATTAATTCAGCCATTTCTCATTCATGATTTTAAACTCATAAACAGAACAGGTACATTATTAAAATAAAGGAAATGAACGTAAAGTTTCTGAGAACTTTTTTTTTCATTTTTAAGCATGTATTGAGGACATTAGTCAACTTCTGCATCTACAGTGGGGCAAAAAAGTATTTAGTCAGCCACCGATTGTGCAAGTTCCCCCACTTAAAATGATGACAGAGGTCAGTAAT